CTTCAAATCTCTTCACCCAACACTTCTACTCGAAATGGAAGTAATCAGAAAACAGTATACCAAGTAGATGGAATGCATACTAGAGACTGGATTACGTATCATGCACTAAAGAAAGACCCAACTATGAAGATACTTGGGGCCTTATGTGGCATGCTGAAAGATATGCATAGGAACGGGGAGATCGTGAGATGGACAATAAATTCACTAATTAAAAAGGATTCAGGACCACCAACAGCCTACGAATTGTCGAATCTAAACAAAGAGGGGGGATAAAATCTGATAACTAACAAAAAGAATGGAGCAACACACATATTGGTAAAGTTCATATGTTTGTAAGTCAAGAAGGCAAACATCAGTGTATAAAACACAGTAAAATACTGATATGCATTTTATCAAAAGATCAAAAACATGACACTGGAATAAACATAATTATCGGTTAGTTTTAATGCACAATCTATGTGCACAAGGTGCTCTGGATAAAAAGAACTAAAGGCCCTGCTGGAGATTTTATACCGAGAAGAGGATATCCTGAAAGGAGAGAGCATCAGAAGGAAGTCGTTAACACAACTAACTAATTGAAGATATGAAGACCAAGATGTTGTTGTCTCTGGTATGGTCGCAGTCTCCTTTCGATTTATAGAAGTGGGTTGACCTAGTTGTTATAACATGGTCTTGTTGTCAGGGCAACTTAGTAGAACGCACCTAGTATGAAGTCGTCTGCCATAGTAGTCGTCATGATTCCAAGCTTCGGACAGTGGACTTGGTACATTCTCAAACGTTTCGCTGTCATCGTAGTCGGAATTATCAGTAAATTTTGCCATCCTCCGCGCTAAGCTACGAACTCGTCAAAGAGACAAGTGAAGTCAATCTTTCGACAAACGTTCTGCCGAAAACGGTTACACTACCACTCCTCTTTCTATCCTGGCCTATCTATCTACTCTTTACCCTCTTATCCCATTGCTACCCTATCACAACTTCTCACTTGTTTACATTCCAATCGTCAAAATGTGTGCAGTTTTGTGGCAAACCGAGTGTGGCCTCATCACACTTGCTATTAACCTTCGATGGGCTTATCCGACTCGGGCCTTCAATCCGGATACCCTCATTGTCTCGTAGATCCGTTTCAATCGGTTCCAGTCCCAGTGTGCACTTCACTCAAGGCGCTATTTCTCAAGGCCCTAGAAGCACGTACACTGCCGCTTCACTGGGCAGAGCGCCTAAGCTCTCATTCCCATGCTTGCAGATATCTGGCCTTTTCTTCACGGATCCTCTCGTTGATTAAACCCATGTTATCTGAGCAAATTGTGGACGCCTATCTCTAGTCGCATGCGGCATCTCAAGTGCATTTTGGCCATAACGTCGAATTTCCGTGACGGTTTGCTTATCCGTCTGCCCAGCCCCCTGACTACCAGGCCCCTAAAGTTGTACTGGTTTATTCGAAACGGATATCACTCACTAACAATGTATTCGCTTGATTGCCAGAAACCCCTGCCACCCACTTTATTCATCGCGATCCCTTTTCCTCCAACAAGCGACAGATGCTTGATCCAAGAGTCTCATTTTTGCTGGTCTTGCTCTATTCTTGTTTTCCTTGAGTTTGATTAGGCAGTAGGCAAATTTATCGCTACCTCTACCTTCCTCCAATCTCCTGGCCTTAAAAATCCTCCGCTTCCTTGTGTTTTGACCGTATAAGGCCCTTATTTCTGCTGACTTCTAATTAATCTTGTGTCTAGTCTGTGCGATGTATTCCGCTATTTATGATCTTTCGGTATCTATTTTTATGCAGAGTCTTTGATGTTCATTTGATTCGTATGCTAATTTTTCTCCATGTTTCGCCAACATATTTATGTTCACAGGCCCCGTATGATATACAGTAAACTCCTGAACAATCCAATTTGTCAACTCTTTCATGTTGCGTTGGTAGATTTGTGAAAAGTGTTGATTTTTTTTTCATGGCCACCTGAATATTCCATTTACTTAATATTGGCCGTAGTTTTTCAGTTAGTTCGAAGCAAGGTAGGTATATCCACTTTTGCGAATCCTTCATCATCCTTACTGTTCTTTCATACTCCTCGTTTGTCATAGGCTTTTCACCGAGGTATTTTTCTTTTATCACTTCGCCTGCGTAGCCAATGCCGAAGAATAACCTCGTCAATTTGTCCAGCTCCTCCCAGAATTCTACATCCGTTAGGCTTAAGCTTCGGATGATCATGCTTCTCATTATTCCTATCTTTAGTCTGTAATTGTGATGGGAACGGGAATTAAGTATTCTCCTAGCATTAAAATTCTTTCTGAAAAATTTCTGTTTGAGCGTCCCATTAGAGCGAATCACTTCGACGTCCAGGAACGGTAGCCACTAACCTTCCACTACTTCCATCGTGAATTGAATTTTTCAATGAATCTAGTTTATAACTTCAGAAGCTCTTCGAGATTTTCTCTTCCATGCGAACAAAGTAAGAAATAATCATCCATGTACCGCATGAGCACTGCCGGTTAAGGCGGTGCCATCTTGAAGTTCTCTTCTATTTCGTTCATGTATCCGTTTGTAAGAAGTGGGGAGAACGGTGCTCCAATGGGAAGTCCAAATATTTGTCCATAAATATTATCGTTGAATGTAAAATAGGTTGATTAATCTTGTTAATGACTCTCTACCGATCCGTTGTGATTCCAGGATATCCTCTTCTCGGTCCAGCATTTCCAGCAGGGCCGTTAGCCCATTTTCTCCAGAGATATTTGTATACATGAATTCCACATCGAAACTTAGCAATAAGTCCGTTCATTCCAGTGCCATGCTTTTGATTTTTTGAGAAAACTCATATGAATGTTTGACTGTGTTTGATATCTTCTCGTTTAATTTCTTGAGTTTCAAACATATAAACTTTGCCAACTTGTGTGTTGCTCCATACTTGTTGTTAACTATTAGTCTAAGTGGCGCGCCCTCCTTGTATGTATTCGGTAATCCGTATGCTGTTGGTGGTCGTGCATCCTTTTTTATGATGTTGAATTAAAAATGGAGTC